CACACACACACACACACACACACACATAATCTAGCTGACACGTTATCTCCAGTTTCTATAGAGTTTATAACATCCCCTTTTGAGGCCATCTGTATTTTATTATCAAACCTATTCAAATACACAAACACGCTTTCAGGAGAGGTTTTCTTATTGTGATTAAGGCAAATCAGCTGAGGACATTTATGGAGGGTTGACTGTTTTGCATCTTTGGTCTAATAGAGTTAATGCTGAGGTAACTGCATCATGAATATTTTTTTTATATCCTATAACACCTATCTTCATGTATGTTTGCGTGCAGGTAAACCTGAGCTGAGGTCAGAGGTAGACATCATCGTGGCAGATGTAGGAGAACCAGACTCCCTGGCAGCCATGTGCAAACAGGCAGTGATTGTTCTCAACTGTGTGGGGCCTGTAAGTAGATGACTCCACAGAAACATTTGTGCCTGTGTCCATTTTATCGTTACAACTTTGAAGTTTTGTCTTCTTGTAACGCAAACTGATTTTTCCTCATGTTATCTCAAGACATGATCACAGTGGCATCTTCCCTTTGGCATCAGTGTTCCTCAACTTTTCTCCAACTTTCTCGCTCTTGCTCTGTCTTTCTGTTTTTCTTTCTCACACACACACAGTCGTTTTCATTCACACAATGAAGGCCACTGACTTACAGCACACAAGTGTGGCATTGTCTTAGAGTCAGAATGGAGAGTTGGTTTCCAGCTCCACTGCTTCACGCCCTGTGCATCATTCAGGTTCTTGTTTCAAACTGAATTCTTTCACTACAGCCGAGTTTATACTAAGGCAGAGAGTTGAAGTAATGAGTTTAATCTTCAGTTTCAGTTTTTTTGTTGACAATACAAATCACATGCTTCTTCTGTATGAGCATAAAGAGAATAATGAGACACACCACATAGTATTATGTAAACCTCATGTCTTGCATAATATGTGAAAAACAAACAGGGAGTGGTAAACTGAAAAAATTTACCTTGCACTGCAAGTGACTATGTGTAGCACAACGTGACTGCAGGGAAGCGTTTTTCAATTTTAACACGATTAGTAGTAGTATTATTACTACTGTTACTACAATCTAGAGATGGAGATAAAAACAAGGACAAAGGTTTTACCTGTTGCAGTTATGATGTAACATTACACCATCAGACAACCTAAGATTACTTTGAACCTCTTGACTCACATCTAACACGTTTTAGTGCACTGCTTTATCTGATGTCCCACACTTTGTCTTAAGCACTTATTTATAGATAATGGAGAACTGACCATTGAACCAATTCAGAGAGATAGTGTAACGATTAAAACAAGTGGAACAGTGTGTGAATTAATTTCTGTTTGTCTGTCTTTCTTTCTCTGTCTCTATAGTACAGATTCTATGGTGAGCCGGTGGTCAAAGCCTGTGTGGAGAATGGAGCTCACCACATTGACATCTGTGGAGAGCCTCAGGTATTTATAGCTCTGTATTTCTGTATTGTATTGTAATGTATGTGTGTGTTTATTTATCTTTGGCCTTTTATTGTCTTTGACACAAATCCTACACTTAACGAGGCAGAAGGTTTTAATTTCATTATGCATGTGAACTGAAACAAGGCTGTGATATAACCCTTCACTCCGTCCATCAATAATCTGCCCAACTTGAAGGACTGAAGCTTGAAACCTTCGGTTTTAAAGCTTGAGTTACTGACCTATACCTTCACTTCTCCTTTTGCACAATATTTCATTCATGCTGTCACTGGACGTTGTCCTGTAGTGCTTTGTTCCAGAAAGCAGGTTTAGGGAAAACGCTGTTCAAATTAACTCTGAGGGAAAGTTGAGGAGACTTTTCCAGAAATCTACAGTGTGAATTTAACTCAGTTAATTTAATAAGAAGTTGCTGCCAAAGCACAGTTAAGGAGCATATTTTATAGAACATTTAATGTCAGGAGAAGAGGATCCAAATCCCGGGTGGATAGGCTGTTTTTTTGTAATCCAAGACCCCCTCTTTACTACTGTTCCTCTTCTAACAGTCAGTCATCAAAGTAAAAATGAAGACAGTGATCTGTGTCTTCACCATCAAATGTTTCACATTGTGCACTCAACCTCAGCTAAAACTAAAATCTGTTCACTGACTTTGTTTACAACTCTGTGATTCGATGGACGTTAAGTCAGTTCCCTTGAAAAGAAAATCTTTTAATCATAAATCCATGATCTATCTGGTTTTACACACATCATTGAAATCTTGCACTGATGGAATATTCCTGATAGTTAAGATAAGATAACACTTTATTAGTCCCCAACTATTGAGGTATTTCTGACCATCCTCACACATTACATACTCCCCTCTCTCTTTGCAGCACCCAAGGTCAGGTTTTAGATAAGGGGCCAACCAACAGTACTTTGTAGTGTCTACTCACATGGACTCTCATATCTAACTCACATGCCCCAGTTAGAGACACTAGTGGCAAGACGTAAAGGACACAATGTGATTTAAGAATGCTTACTTTAGGCTTAACTGTTCAATAATATTCAAACACCTACATGTAACATAGAGATTGACAGAAATTCTAGCCATTCATGGATGTGCTGTTAGAATGGGTGATGCAAGTCGAGGAAGATGTATGGGGAGGCTGTGGGAGACATCTTTAGACTTGGGGGAGACAATTGCTCATGTAACTCTGTTAGTGTTTGTATATTGTTCCACCTTGTGGTGTCCTTGATGCATCATGTCTACATTAACATCTTCTGCATATGACATCAGCTGCTGCCTGAGTTCTCCTTTCACCAGCTTCCAGAAAACTTCACTACACTGAACACTACACCCACTATAGGAAAATCGTTATGTGAATATATCTGAGTTTGGATGATTGTTGTTCAGCTGAAACCTGTAGTTTTAAAACGAGTTTTTAAATATAGGCTACATTTAATCTCAACTTGTTTCAGTTACTGTTTGGATCTACTGCATGTTCATGTTGAAATATAGCTGAATATATAAAATATGCTGTTTCAACTACAAAAATCATTTTCAGCTGCAAATCATCGAAATCATCAGGCTGTTACCTGGTGGACTGTGAGGCCACAGTCCTACTGTAGGTCTATAAATAAGCTGTATTTAACCTCGTCTGGTTATTTCACCCTCAGCTGCCAGCAGCTCTTATTCCCAACAGGTTACAGCTGAATATATTTAAAAATATGACTCAACAAACAGTAGGATTCTGGCACTTTGTCTCCCATTAAGGAAACTGAATTTTATTAAAAAGTGACTGGACACACTGAATCAGGTGTAAAGATTTTGACCTTCTTTTCTACAGCTCAGGCTCTTTTTCTTTTGTTGCAGTGTGTTTTATTTATCCTATCACTTAGCATTTCTCAGGGCTGGACTCAGAGGATCAGGCCTCAGATTTCCGAACATTGGATTTAGCTGTTGTTTGTGTTTGGATTAAATTGGAGACGTGCTGACTTTCATGCTGTAGCTCGTTAGATAAAATGATCTGTCACTTGGCTGCAGGACAGCAGTTTATCCCTCACTGTTAGATGCCTGTCTCCTGTAAAGCAGCTTGTCTCACTGAAACAAAGACAGCACTCGGAAGGTCCAACATGAAGTCTGTGTTTTAAGGCTGTGTCTCTTAGGCTTACGTAGACTTTGAAACTATACAAACTATCCCACCACTTTTGTGACAGGTTCAGGACAAAACTTGTAAGCAACAGTCACCCTCATATCTCATATGAACTCCACTCTTATTTGGTATTTTTGAAAATGATCCTCACCACCATTTCATACCGATTGTTAAAAACGAATTCACTACCGTTAAATCATTGTTTGAAAGTTTGAATTGATTTGTTTGTCTGTTTACAGTTTCTAGAGAGCATGCAGTTAAACTACAGCAGCCAGGCAGCTGACAAAGGTGTTTACATCATCGGGAGCTGTGGCTTCGACTCCATACCTGCAGACATGGGAGTCCTCTACACCAGGGACCAGTTCAAGGGTATGCACTTTCTCACATGCACATTCAGTATAAACACATGCACACAATAGCATTAAAAAAAACCCTCTTCTCCCTCAGGACACTGATATGTAGATATGTATCATCCACAGGTACGCTCACTGCAGTGGAGAGCTTTCTGACCGTCGGCTCAGGACCTGATGTATGTAACGACATTTCCCATAAGTCCATGTAGTGGATTTCTGTACACTAAGTTTTCATGTTTATTATTGCATCACATATTTTCTCCTTCTCTGTGTGTGTGTGTGTGGTGTGTGTGTTACTTTGGTTTCCTCTATCAGGGCGGGTGTATCCATGATGGCACATGGCAGTCTGCTGTCTATGGTTTTGCAGATGGCCCGAAGCTGCAGAGTCTAAGGAGGAAGTTTAATCACAAACCTCTGCCTACTGTTGGCTCCAAGATAAAGCGCAGGTAGGTCGATTAATAACTCAACTAACTAAGCTGACGAAGACAACTTGATACCTGCAGTCATGGGAGTCTGCAGTTATAATGTGGGTATTTGAAATGTGGGTCTTTGTCCATATGTATTGAGTAAGGCATTTTACCTTTAAAAAATGTACTTGTCAATGGTCTCTGGTGGAGAAACTATGTAATGATGACAGTTTACCTCGATTATATAATTTTAAGGTCATTATTTCCTGTTACGTATCTGCGGAAACATACTGATGTGACATATGTGATGAGATAATAATAAGATTTTCTGTGCTTGTGTGTGTATTTGCAGAGGATCACTGTTCTTCAGTAATGAGATCCAGCAGTATACGGTGCCCTTCATGGGCTCTGATCCCTCTGTTGTGAAGAGAAGTCAGCGATTCCTGGCAGAGGAGCATGATGCCTCACCAGTCAGTCTCTTCATTTTTTTCTATACTTTCATTTTCCACTAATGATTAACATATACATTGAATTCTTAATAGGCTGTTCTTGCACAGAAGTATCATCAAGAATAACTGAAATTTATAATGATTGTAAGCTTTTGGAAAAATATGGCTTAGTCTTGTGAATCAATCTAATGAGCATATTTATATGGAAAAACTGGAATTAACAACAAACAATAAAACAAGCGTGTGTGTAGGAACGATACCTCATCACTGTTCTTTTCAGTTTAAGACAACATGCATTGTGCATATGACTACCTCTATGTTTCTATGGGGTTAAATAATCTGTTATTATCTACTCTAGGTTCAGTATGGAGCTTATGCAGGAATTGGAGGCATCGGCAGCATAATCAAGCTGCTGTTTGCTGGCATGATGTTCTGGTTACTGGTCAAGTTCAGCTTTGGGCGCAACCTGCTCATCAAGGTAAACAAACTTACAGTGCATATCAACAATACTATCTCATATTTCATACCTCACATTTCAAAACTGAATATTCTACCTATTAGAAATCTGTCTGTTGTTTGTCCCCAACCTTCTCAGCACCCAGAGTTCTTCTCCTTTGGATTCTTCTCTAAGGCCGGACCAACTAGAAAGCAGGTAAAGTGTTGATACCACAGCAAATTAGAGGCTTAGATATTCAGTCAATACACCAATTCTTAGTCCTAATAAGCTTTGGCTATTTAAACATGTTAATAAGACGATGTTTTGTTGTTTTATTTGTTTTTCATCCATGTGTGTGTCAGATGGAGGCCTCGTCCTTCCAGTTTGCATTCTATGGAGAGGGATACACTGAGGGCGAGGACCCTTCGCAAGGGAAACCTAATGCCAAGATCCGTACCCTGGTTCAGGGACCAGGTAACTGGATATTTTAAGTCCTCATATAATTCAGGTTTGGTGCTTGATTTAACTTGGGTTTCACTCAAACAGTATTTAATGTGTGGCTTGAGATTGGCTGTATAATTATATAATAATTTTTGTAACACAGGAACAAAAACCATTGACTGAAACAAACCTGTCGTTTGATGAGGTCGTCTGACCTGTTTAACACCTTCCTTCATATGTCTGTCTGTTTATTTGTCTTTCTTTTACAATCAGAGTGTGGATATGTGGCCACACCCATTGCCATGGTACAAGCTGCTCTCACGATCCTCAATGAATCCACAGCTTTGCCCAAGAAGTGAGTCTTATCACACCACAAATCTGCCACATACTATATATATATTTATATTGATATGCGCCACACCTGCAAATGACTGCAGGAATTGGGTGAGAGACTATCTGTGAATAAACAGATTAGAGTTAAATTTGTGCATGCAGTTTTTTTAATAAAAGAAAAATAGAAGCTGCATGGATAATATTGCTACAGCATATTCATGTCAGATTTTTAATAGAACTGTAGTTTATCATCAGGGAATTGCAAGAAAGTCCATTGATAACTTTTCGTTTTTGTATGAAATTAATTTATATTTATATTCAGTTCATCTTTTTATCTTTCGTTTCCAGGGGAGGAGTCTACACTCCAGGAGCTGCGTTTGCAAAAACCACGCTGGTCGACCGCCTCAACAAACACGGCATTCAGTTCTCCGTCATCTAAAGTTAGTCCCCTCCCTGAGGCCGTACTCCAGGTTTTCCGAGCACTTACTAACATGGATAATAAAAACTGGGAAGTTTAAACTTCATGAGAGGGTAATCTCTCAGATTGAGTTCTAACATCATTGTGGTTAGTACTTTCAGCATTTATCCTTTTGGTTTGGTCAGAAACTTGCCAGTTTTCTCTTGGCTTGAATGTACTATTAACCCTCTGCTTTAAAGACAAACAGCAAGTGTAGAAGTGAAGGAACAAGTATGTGTGAAGAGTTTTAAAATGTCTCCAGTGACTCATTGAAAAGAAGATTTGGCCAGAATTTAGTTCCCTCCCTGATCAATATTTCTCTGACACTGTGACCAATTAAAGATGCTCCTCAGTTCTACATGGTCATGTGTGCGTCTGCCTTTACTCAAACATGAGTAGATGATCAAAACTCTCCTGTTCCTTTTAATTACCCATAATGTTAAACCATAGTATAGCAGGAAGATGGCTTTATAATATCACCTGTAATGATCACAGATAAGACAGGACTGGAAAAGTAGGTTGAGATCAGTGCAACAGATAAACATCTGTAACACAAAGAAAAGCTTCTTCTACAATCTTTAGTTGTGTGTTGTCCTTGTTGCACACAGTAGCTTGATGTTGTTGTTCTGGTTCAGTGAAGTGAAGCTGTCAATAGACAATTAGAAATCTGCTGTGTGTGCACGTACATGCTCGCCTTGCCTGGCCTAGTCCTCCTACTCTCTGGAATGTTTGGGTTTTTTGTAGCTGATTGTTGCTGCACTTCTTCTTTCCAGTGTTTGCTTTTTGAGCCTTGTCAGAAAATGCATCCAGCTGTTTGTGCACAAAACGGCATGAGTTACTTCATTAAACTGAACAGATCCTCTGCTGTTTAGTTTACAGATGTGTGTTCAAAGTTTGGGTTTGTTTGTTTGTTTGTTGGTCACATGGACTGGACTTATTTTCACCCACATAGAAAAAGGTTGATCTCAGTTCAGACTTGTTTTTGAGACTTTGAGCCTCATGTGCATGTGGCAGTTTTGATGTGTTTTGCTTTGTACGGGCCTCGTAAATAAAATCATCTCTGATAACAGAAACAAGTCTTGAGTCTTTCTTACAGCTTTATGGGAAAGTCAGTAAGGCCCTAACATGCATCCAGGATTAACTATTGTGTTCATTTCATGTATGGAGGCAAACTGGTGTAAAACAAGACAAACGTGTCCTAAGGCTTCATATGAGGTTTTAATGTTTTGTAAAATGTTTTGTAATTTCGCACTGTTTGGTTGTGTAGTGATGACACATCATAGACATAAATCCAAATGATTCATGATGACCCAGGTGAGTTTGGGATTTCTTGTACTGTTAAAGTAGTTTAGTTCACATTGTGTACATAACTGAGTAATAACCTTAAAACTGAATCTTTTCTTCTACTTGGATCATGGATTTAATGCACCTATAAGGACTTTGCATTTTTCACAAATTCTGACAAATCCCCATCCAGCAGGGGTCTTTGTGTTTGGAGTTTGCATGTTCTCCTTGTCTCTGTGGATTTCCTCGTTACTCCGGGTTCCTCCCACAGTCCAAAGACATGCAGATTGATACTACACTGACCATAGGGGTGAGTGTGAATGGTTGTTTGTCTCTATATGTTGGTCATGTGATACACTGGCTGCAACTTGTCTTTACAGTGAGGGAGTTTAATCTTTGAGAAGTGAATTCACAATACTAAATTCAAAATGAGTCCACAGGAATCAGCAGAAAGTCACTAAAGTGTAAAGAATGACGGGGAATAGAAAGATTCTACATAAAACTCATTATTGACAAAATGCAAATATTTATTCATAAAAATACAGTTATCTCATGTACAAAACAACAAAAATGTCATGACTAAAAATAGTTTTTACACATTTCTTTTAGTTGGTTCCTTGGTTTATCATTTGTTGCCATATATTCTATGTGTAACCACATTTAACATCACTTCATTCTGTGTCTTGGTTCAGCAGCTGATGAGAGTAGATGACATCTTCATAGTGGTATTTCTCTGCTATGGACATGATGGAGTCATTGCACCTGATTCTGCTCAGAAGCTGCAGCACTTCAACCACAGCAGACCTGCAGTGAACAGCAAATATCTGAGTTAGAGAATTCCAGTTATGATCTTGTTTATGAACATATGAACCTAATGCATGATCATTCATAAAGTTGACAACTAAAACTGAAAGATCTTAGTTGTGATGCTGCAGAGGTCACACGATTAGGGAATATGAAAGCAGGTTTGATATTCGTGGTTATGTTTGTAACCACAAACATGCAGCCTCTTCAATAAATAATGAACTTTTGTTTTAAAAGGCAAAAAATGATTTGATCTTCTTCGGTAGTTACTCAACCAATAAAAAAATAGTACAAAGAATTTATCTGTCAAACTAAAAACACTCCTACATGATCCCTTGAGTAAATCTAACTTGAATGTGGAACGTACTAGATTTTTAAGTAACCTTGTTCACAACGACCAATTTTGTTAAAGCTGGAGGCAGAATAACTTGATAAGAGGGTTTTTTTTCTCATTTCATGGACTAGGCTGCCTTAAGGTGATGGCAATTTAAAAAGTTTTCTTTCTTCTGTTTTTATTACCTCGTGTTCGGATCTTTAGGAGACTGCTGTTTGCAGATGGTATGAACTTTTTGAACAAGATGGTTCTCAAAATTCTGGAGCTGAGGCAAACAAGCGCTCACACCTTTGAACCAAGAGAGCGGAAGGCCATCTCCAATCTGGTAAGAGGAGAGGGGAGAGAGAGTAGCATAGGTTAAGAGGGGAAAAGACCAGAGAATGAGAGGAAGAATCAAAATGGAGACTGGTGCATAGATACACATTCCATATTAACGATATAAATTCAAAATACCTTCTTGCAGGCATGGTTAGTATTGTTGGGTTGAGTCTGACTGCACAGAGTGATCATCAGGTATCTGTTCAGCAGTTTGTCCAACATCAGTTCCTTTAGTAAAGTCTCAGGAAGCAGCAAAGCCCATTTCCCCATGTTACCTAGTAGCTAATGGAAATACAAAACAACTCAGCTTTAGCGCCCCCACCTGGTACAAAAGAGACAATATAAGATACACAAGTGTTCTTTTAAACATTATTTGTTAGAGAGAGCAGTACTTTAATGGCCGTCCAGAACTGTTGTTCTCTGAAACGACTCTGAGGAGTCAACTTGTCCTCTGAGAACCTGGATAGAAAAACAAACAGCATAAATGAATGATATCATAATTTGACACCATTTTGATTGACCTGACTGAAAAACTACATCAAAGTTAGTCACTGATCTTTCAATTGTATCTAATGATTGAGCAGAGACGTGAGGTAAAGTGGATAATTGGTCAAGACAAGAAGAGTCGTTACAGTGTGCTTAATAAGACGGACACTGAGATGAAGTTAAATGTGCTTTGTCACTGCAAGTCATTTAAGTGAAGATGGATAAATTTCAAGTGGCAAAAACCAAACTGACTTTTTTGGGTACAGAGGGATGAAGACATCTTCATCAACACAGCTCCTCAGTCTCCTCACCACAGCCTCTATGAACGTCTGCACAGGACACAAACACACATTGTTAACACAAACAGGTTCATACGCTGTGTATATGCTAATTATCGTATGTTTACATGATTTTGGTTTAAAGTTTTTTCTATATAACTTAATTGTTAGATATAAGACATTCATTTTCACTGTAAATTAATTTTTAAACATTAAAAATCTACTTAAAAAAGGACAGGATAGAAGCAGGATGGTTTCTGCACTGATTAATACATAGAAACCTGATGTACAAGTGTTCACTCTACCTTGACTGGTTTGCTCTGCTCTCCTTCAAAGATGGAGTAGTCCTCCTTCAGGCTGTGACACACATCAGTAAGACAGACTGATTGTTGACGGGACATGGGGTCCCACACCAGCTCCACAAAGGCTAAGCATCAGAGCAGAACAAAGACAGACAGAGAATGAGGCTTCTGTAGTTTCTCACATCTGTCGTCTAATACAAGCCAAAGAGGTGGACGGAATGTTTAACGGTGGGTACACAGCAAACATGACAAATCACTCAGATGTGAATGCTAGCCTGATTTACAACAATATTCCCAGAGCATGCAGTGGAAAAGCAAGAAGTAGAGAAGGGAGATGAGAAACATTTTGTGCATGAAGAGGACAGAAATATTGTTGATGTAGTTACTAATATTAACATATCATTTTCCAGTTATAAAAATGTAGTTCCCAGGCACTTGTCTGTTCTCACTGTAGCATTAAGTAGTTTCAAACAATCTCTATTATGGTTTCTAGTTAGATTTCCCTTCAACAAGTCAAACCTATAGAAAATAGGGTTAATATATTTATCTATTTAGTCGTGTAAATGTACATTTGTCTGTAGAACAGTGGGAAAAAGTCAGAGATCATGCCTGAGTGTGCGAGTGTGTGTGTTACCAGTCATTTTGGGTAGGACAGTCTTTTCTATGACATTAGACAACGTCTCTCTGTCTGTGTTTTCAAGCTCCTCGTGGCCATGTCCATGACAAAAAGTCTCCACTGCTGAGAACCATGGGAGGTTTTCAAAGTCCCCACTGGTATCCTGAGACACACAGACAACCATAACATTAGGCACACAAAATGTCATGTGTTGTGTAATGTCGTGTGAATGTATTCACTAAACCTCTGTTTGTGTGCAAACCTTCAGTGGGTTCCACATCAGCAGCTGATGTCTAATGATCGGGTTCAACAACTTTGGCAGACACAGAGAGATGTAGGCACTGTGGTAAGAGTCAGAGTAAGATCCTCTCCATTCTTCAAAGCGAGACAGAATCTTTTTAACATCGCAGAAGTCATCCTGAACGTCCGAAAACAACGCCTGGGACCTCAACATGATATCAGCTGGAGAGGAAGCAGAGAGTAGAAGAGTGAGTGAGAGAAAAGCAACAAATGGATCAGTGACTCAGCCTAGACATAATACATTTGGATTTGTATCTGTTTTTATGGTATTACACTTATTGTTAAAGCTGCATTGTTAGAATAAAATGATTAGGCCAAGTTGAGTCCAATCAATTCGTACTCACCCTTTTTCTTCTGTAGCTGCTCTTCCTCTTCTGCTGAAGGTAGGGAGTCCTCAGGAATATCAAAGTCTTCCTCAGTGCTCATGTCCCTGCAACACATAAGACAGATATTGTATATGTATGTAAGAGTAGATCAGAGGAGCTATTTAACTAAACTTGACTATATCCCATTTTTCAATATTGGTGTACTGGATTTTAATAAATATATTTTGTAGCCTTTTGTCATTTTCTATTTCAGAAATCTTGTAGATTTAGGGTATGATATATTTAATATAGCATCTAAAAGAGCTATTAACCAAAGAAGGAAAATGTGTCATGAAAGATATTTTATTACACTCACCCTTGATTTTCTGATCCATTGGCTGAGCTTCCACCCTGCTCCTCTGTGCTATCTGAAAAATGAGGTGAAAAATCCTCTTAATTCCAACATTGCATCTGGATTCCATTTTATCTTCAATATCTACAGCAGAGTTTCTGCATAAAAATGTTCCTCCTGGGAAACAATACAAAGAAGGACTAAACCAATTTGACTTATTTGGTATCTTGTTGTTGCACTGACACAGTGTTATCACCTGGAGAATTGGCCCACACTTTCAAATGTTGATTAAAAAAATGTTTAAAGTTTAATCGTCAAACTCACAGCTGAGCTGTTGCAGACGCTCTGCCTGCTCCTTGACCTTCTGTCTTCTCTGAGCCAACAGCGTGTCCATCTGGTCAGACAGCAGAGTGTGAAGCTCCAGCTCCAAAGAGTTGATCTCCACAACCTACAGTCAACACATTTTTCTCAGTCAGAAAACTATCACCATTCATCTTCCGAAAAGGGGGTCGTTAATGTTTCCTACAGGCTGCTGGTGCAAGACAAAATCTCTTGATTGATGAAGAGTATAACATTTAATGGACAGACATTATTCTCCTTTGGTTTTCATCCAAGATTTGACAGCTGACTTGGGCCACAACCAACTGCTGGGGCTGCTCTGGTTTATCCAATGTGAGACCACTGGTCAGGTCTTAGAATTAAAAAATACTCAGCACTCTTGCCTTGGGTTTGTAACTTTCTGGTGACACACTGATTGTATTGATTGAGTCAAATAAGATCACACCAGAATAAAATCATAAAATATGGAAATCCTTTCAACAACATTGGCAACCAAACCCTTAAGGCTGGTTATCAGCCTCGCAACCTCAAGTCAGGCTCCACCACCAGTTCTCACTGACACACAGTTGACTGATAAACCAATAAATGCATTTTTATATTCAAAGATGATGATAGAGTAGAGACAATAGCGATAATTTGGAGAGACTCATTCATTTTTTTACCTTTTCCTGCAGACACTCCAACAAGTTGTGAGCATAGAGGGTCATGCTCCTGTAGAACTTCAGCTGCCTCTCTGAGGAACTCTCACTCAGCGCCTCCACTGAGGTTGTAGCACTTTCAACATCTCCCTCCATCTTCCTCAACTCTGCTTGCCGCGCTCTGTGCACCTCCTTCAGGGACTCCAGTCTCAAAAGAAGAAAAAGAGAGGAAAGTGAGGAAAACTTGTTGTGTATGTTTGATTACATAAGTACTGCTAGGCACCGAGAAGTAATAAATACAGGAGAAAAGTAAACATATATGAGCATGAAAAATACATCTGAACCAGACTGTTATACCACTTATATTGAATTTTTTTATGGTGTGATATAAACATACTTTCCAGTGATCCTCCTCTTGACCATTGAAACACTGACAGGAGGAAGGGTCTTTGGGATTCTGACCCGTGCTAGTCTCGTCTTTTGTCTTCCTCTGTTTCGTCTGCTGCTGCCAGAGCTGCTGGACTCACTGCCAGATGGGCTCTGAGAGGAAGAAAACAAGAGGATAAAAGGACGTCAAACCTGCTGAGCAGAGAGGAGAAGCGACTCTGCTGGTAGAAGTCTTCAGAAACAGAAGTCTAAGACCAGCTGCACACTGGTTGTGACAAAGGAGTAATCCAGAAAGATTGCAAAACAGAAAAGTCACACGAGAAAACGAAAACCTTAAGAAAAAAATAGAACGTGTAAAAGACTTGAACAGGAAAAAGTAAATAAAAGACAGGAAGATGTTTCATGGACTGTCCTACCTGTCCTCCTGGATGTCTCTTGACTCCCTTCCCAATTTGTGTTTCCTCCCAAAGTTCTTGCTCTTCCCCATCAGTCCCTGACAGACTGCCATCACTCCCTCCTAGATTAAACATACAAAATTGTACAGTATAAAAGTGATCACAAAGTGTTCATTCCATGGTACGCAGGATACCACCAATACAATAATATTAGATTAATACTGCAGCTTTTTAAATCTACGATTTGAGAGCACATACATTTCTGCATCCGAACATACATAACATTTAATCATCCCCTTCCTTTCTCCCCTCTTCCCTTTCCCTCTCCCTCACATACCAATCTTCTCAGCAATCCTCTCTCTGATGCTCTTCAGTCGTGGTGCAAACTCGATTCTTCTCTCATGATCATCTGGTTCATCATCATCATCGACTCTTTCTTCATCATCGTCGTCTCTGCTGTAGTGATCTGGGGTGCTACCTGCGGAGCTCTGGCCATCTCTGCCCAGGGAGATGTACTCTTTCTGGGATCGAATGGCCTGACGCTGCCTCTTGGCTGCCAGGATCGCCTCAGCGTTGGGTATACGCACTAATTAAATCAACAGACAGTAACATGCATGTTAATTAATGCACAGGAAAATGTCAGCAAAACAAATACAAACTTCCAACCAACCACCCGTGAATTTAAAACCCCAAAATGCACACTATCCATCTGTGAGTGTTGTACTCTCTGACATACACACAGTAAAGTCCACCAAAAACACACACCTGGTCTAGCAGAAGAGCGGCTGGAGTCCGAGCTCGCTGAGGGAGACCTGGCACCACCTTCATCACTGTCATTGTCATCTTTCTTGCTGTTGTTATCATCATCATTACCATCATCATCATCTTCACTGTCATCACTATGGTACAGACTATGTGGTGAAGACTGACTGTCAGAATCTTGCCTGGGAGAAACAGATGGTGGGGCACTGACACCAGCTGGGCCTGGCAGAGAGAAGTGGGAAATATTTGTATGTATGAAGATGTTGTCCAACACTATTGCATAATTATCTTGACAATTGCAGAGATATGTTGTAAATCTTTGCTTTACTTGGGTTTAATCACATTAATAACTGAAACATGCTCACTGCTAATACATTGAGGTGTTCTAGTGTATATTCAAGAATTTCTACTACTGTTAAATATATTACCAACATAGTGAATATATGCATTGGTTATTGTGTTTAAGGGTCATGAGCATTTTTTGACATGATCCATTCATGCACCGCCACCTACCTGTGCTGTGGCGGGTCTTGGCAGGTGAAGCTTCCTTCTTCCTGGCTTGGAACAACACCACTTTATCAGAGGACTTCTTCAGTTTAAATGTTGGTTCTTCAGCTGAGACAATGAGAAGAAAACCACAGATCAGTGAGCACCAACATGCTGTACAGTGTTACACCCTGTCACAGTACACTTATTACCTCTACCAAGGAGGTTCTGGTTTTGTCTGCTTTATCAATCCTTGTCAGTTCACAGGATTGTTTGGAGACACATAAATATATCTAGTAATAGCTATTACATTTGCAGGAAATTCTGTATTATGTTCGTAGTAGTCAACTGCTATTGAATTTGTGGGAATTGTATTATGTGTGTGGTATTATTGCATTAAAGGCTGCAGATTTGTACTACGTTTGTGGGCTGTTATTACGTTGGCAAGTGTTACAGGGCCACTCTAGTTTTACCAATAAAGTAGTATGTGTATAGTAACTTTATTACATGGCTACAAAGCAAGAAACCAACTAGTCCTACATGAGAATAAAACTCAACTCTACTAATACTTTGAAGTACACACAGCTTTATCTATTTAACTCAAGACAGAGTCACTAACTAATACAGGACCCATCTGAGCAGATGATGGACTAACTTAAAGTATTTACACACAGTGTTTAAGGGTCATAACTAGTGCCTCCTGGTGGTCTGGGCTGAGTTGACACTTTACCAAAAGTAAATAACATCCAAGAACAACAATTCTGATCTAATACATCCTGTCAATACGTCTTAGTTATTTCCAGCCTTATTATTACAGTACACCTCCTCAGACACAGGCAAACTCATGTCATGTTTCTTTGCCTCCAACGTTTGTTTCACGTTCACCAGCTGAGGTCCATCTTAGTTACCTTCTCTGTCCCCAGAGAAACTGAGGGCAGTGTTTGTTTTCTTTTTCCCTGCATCGTTCCCCCTCTCTTCTTTTCCCGCTGTCACTTCCAGCGGCTCTGCCTCCTCCCCGTCGCTGCTGTCAGGCGAATCCCTCCTCGGAGGCGTCGACTCCGGCTTGGAGCTGCAGGAGATCCCGCGGCCCGGGGCCACTTTGACCAGCTTATTGAACCCAGCCGGAGGAATCTCAGTGTCGCCTCCATCTCCGCTGGTCCCCCGCTGTTCCTCTCCGTCGCTGGAGCTTTGTTTCCTCTGCCGAAAGTTCCTCCGGGGCTTTTTGTTGAACATATCGCTGCCCACTCGTCTTTCAAGGCACCGGGTTGTAAACTGGAGGTAAAAGTCCTTTGCGGCAGGTCGCAATTTGCTTGAAGAAGTCGCGAAATGTGACGTGAAGCAGCCGCAATGCACCGTGGGAGATGTAGTAAGCTTGTACGAGCTAAAAAAAAATTATACAGAACAAACCTTCCAGTGAAATAAACCATTATTTATTTATAGTAGTTAACTGTAATGTTGACAACGCGGTTTCTCAGCCATGTCATCCTTATTGTGATCACCCGTTTTAATACTTTAACATTCAGGAGGAATGTCACAGGAGTTCAGGGACATGACTACATCGACCTGAAGAGAACGACGCGGGGATCTTAAAGTAATACAGGACTTCAAATTAAAATGTGTTTCGTGGAATCATTTCTTCTGTATCCGCCCCATCATCACTCTCGCCCTCGCTCCCTCCTCCCCGGCTCTCCCTCCTCCCTCCCGGGGGACGGTGAGACGTTAACAGCCACACATCACTCGCCGTCAGCCATGTTGTTGGTGTGACACACGGAGCTGTCAGCAACAGGTCCTCGGACCAGCAGCGACGCGAAACTTCAACATTTCTCCAACGTTTTCTCCTGTTTCCGGGCCCCGAACCTTCACGGTGAGTCCGGAGAACCTCGCGGAAGTGTCGGGTGATAACTTTAGAGCCCTGCAAAGTTCAGAAGCTGTGTTTTTATGGGTTGTGGTCACGGAGGTAAGCAAACTGCTCATCTCAGCAAACGAGTTTGATGTTGTTACGCTAATGTTTCTGTGGGTAATTTGACACGTGTTATTTAAAGTATCTGTGTTTTTCTCTGTCTACGTTTGTTTGCGTTATCTTTAATTCAGGAATATAAAAAACAAACTGTATAACAGAGGGGAGCTGGTGCTTCTGTCCTGATCCGGGATTAGGTTAGCTAGCTAAGTTATGACTTCATGAGGTGTTAACTTAATGATCGATAGCCAGATGTGGGCTATTGTTTTTTGTTTCTTGGTGTTTGTTTGAGGCTGATTTGCAGGGAAGTCTTCTAAGTTTCCTCTCGGTTCAAACTAGTTGAGCAGGTTGCAGGCAGGTCTCAGGCTGCTGACAAGTGATCAGGGAATGCTACTCTATCAGTTTATCTTGCAGGAAGACAGAGCGAGGTGTGAGGGACACTGTGGTCCTCACTACAGCTGCAGTGCTCCGTCATGTCTTTGCCAATGTAAATGTTTGTTCCATACAGAGTTTTAAGAGCTGACAACAAACCCAGAGCACAAGTATCATTGTTAATACCAGTGACTGTAAGAAACACCCCATCCCAGAGCAGTGTAGTTTCTTTTCCCAAATTATGACCTCTACGAAATTCCCTGTAGCTGTTTTCATATAGTAACTTGAGTACCACTGGTAAGGCACATTAGTCCCCTTAAATCCAACCAAGCTGCACCAAATTTCAATCCCCCACATAAACTTTATTCCCTGAGAAATCGTTGAAAATAATAAAGAACACTTACAATGTTAAAGAAAGTGAGAAGATTCCTGATTGGGATCTGCACCTAAATTTAATGGGTTCTATCCAATTTCATGGAAATCTGTTCCGTAGTTTTTGCAGAACCCTGCTACATATCAGACAAACATACAGAACTATAGTGGAGGTAAAGGAGGAAATTCCTGGATCCACCCCCTGATCTGGATTTGCACCAAAATTGAATGGGTTCCTCCCTGAACCATACTGCACCCAGCTACCAAGTTTGTGGAAATCTGTGCAGTTGTTTTTGTGTAATCTTGTTTACAAACAAACGGTTTCCAAGTGATTTCATTTGCTGCAGGTCCTGAGTGGAAATTACTCACATTATTTTTGTGTGGTACCTTCAGTCATCTTTCCTCTTTCCTTTAAATTGAAGTTGCACAAAATTGTCCACTCACCAGCATTATCAAGTGGAATATTGATGCCCACTCTGATGCAAATGCTACAGTTAACCAGGTATTGCCCGGCACTGATAAGTTTAACTATTTGTTAAACTTTTACAGCGGAGGTCGGGTTCTTTGAGACCTTTCAGCATTATTAGGACCATGGAGCAATCATGTTAGAATATTTCTTTGAAAGATAAAATGGGGGAGAGATGCAAAGAGGATGGATGTTGTGATACTGTCGGGTCAATTATGTACCATGACAGACTTTTTATTTTTGCCTGCTTCCTTAATTTCTGAATAACTTTCTCTGTCATTTTGTTACTAAACAGTGGCTTAATGTTTTGGTAGAGTCTTTCAACGGGACACTGGCTTTCACTTGTTCAACATGGTTTGAACTCTGTCTGCAAATGTCCACTATGCCAAGTGTCCTTAAAGCAAGAGCCTCAATGTTGTTATTATTACAGTATGAACATCAATAAAGGCTATCAAAAGCTATATTTTCTTGAGATCATCACTACTTCATACATGCCAATGCTCGGAGCAGCATTTGTGACATTACATAAACCTAGACAACCTCTGGATAATCCCAACACTGAGCTGACAGTATGGTGCAGCAGGTTTATCCAGCCCTTTGACCCTTTTTAACAACACTCTTCATTAAATCTACAGCCATGACACTGATGAAACACATGCACATACAGTAAATCCACAGTGCAGCAGTAATAAGCCAGTTTGACTCTGAAACAGTTTACTAGTCCTGCCATACCATGATATACATTATTTACAAATCAGGGTGGGTCAAAGCAGACTGAAGGAGGGAGAGGCATGCCTCGCCTCTTCAGAAAGCAAAACACTGCATTGCAAACAGCATGAATCAAAATCTAATCTGACACACTAGTCTGAGCAGCACTTTCTAAATGAGTGAATGCCACTGGTGGATAAGGCGTTTATGGTAACGTGGGTGGATGTGCTGTACTCAAATATCACTTCAAGAAGGCAGCAAGACTGAAGACTCAGCTCTATGGTGGGAGTGAGTGGAAAAGAAAGAACTAAATAAAATTGCAGAAGAGGGGAATGGATGATAAAGCAGATGGATAGTGAAAGGAAAAAGAAAGCAACATGGGTCATTTTACTGTATATCAAGCCAAACATGCACACACAGGGGGAGAGCTATTAGGGCAGAAACAGAATTGTGGATGGAGTGGATGCCACTGGTGTTAGGTCAGCAAGCGAGGCAGCTGGAAATCAATCATTTCTTAGAACAAGAGGTGGTACTTGTGCAGAGTGGTAATGAGGACAGGCCAAGGTCAAACAACTGACAGGGTATAGATTGAGGGGCAGAACAGAAGAACAGACATGATGTATAAACAATAACACATTGAGAGAGAGAGAGCGGAAGATAAATACATCATCAGCAAATGAGGAAAGGGTGGGATTAAGAGAGGAGAAAAGGTTCATTGTAAAAACATCAGCAACTCCTTTCCTCAGTCTCATTCATCTCTGTCTGGTTCTTCATTGTGTTATTTATTACCTTCTGTCAATGAAGAGTAAAGGCTACATGGCAGCGGGGTACCGTACAAAAGGTCCGGATTAAATAGATAATAAGGGATAAACATACATATGCACTGAGTGAGGAGGAGACAGTTTGAAAGACAAGGTTCAAAGCTGCAGTGAAGCAGGTAAGGTCAGGGACAGCCAGGCTATTTATCCAACACTCCTCAGTGTTGTATATACTAACTGATAGACAATGTAGAAGTGAAAATGGTGAGGTCTAACCCAACAAGGCAATGAAAAGAAAGACAACTCTCTGAGGAAGTGGGTTTGGTATTTAGCCACCACTACACAGTCAGACACAGTAGATGAAGAACTACTCTAACATTTGACTTAAGTAAAAGTATAAATCGAAGACCCTTTTAAAAAAATATAAAAAAGCATTTGATCATGTAATGCAATTATTTGTGCAGTGGAGTGGAAATTAAAATACAGATATTCGCTGATATATGTAGTGGAGTAAAAGTGAAAAGTACCAGAAAATAAATCTACTTAAGTAAAGTAAAGACACGTCAAGAGTTTACTTAAGTACAGTAACAAAGTAAATGTACTTTGTCACGTCCCTCCACTGATAATGCATTATGTAATGATTAGCTGAAAATGTATGAGCTGTGTCGATTCTATTTTAGGGCTCTGTAATCAGGCTAATAAATAGAGACCACCCAGGTTTAGTTTGGATCAAAATGTCTTTTTTCAAAGACATAGCAGGAAAAGCACAGTTGTATGTATGTATTCAGAGTCACACCACTGTGTATGCTGGCTCACTAACAATGCTTACTGATACACTTCAATTACACAATCATTGTTAATTGTATTTCTTCGTGCAATTCGGAGCCTGTTTAACTTGTACAGGCCACATTTACACCAGGTATTGCTGTGACACCATGTGGCTGCATTCTATATATGCTTATTATATAGAGGGAGCTGACAGATTTGTTAAGAAACAACATGTTATGTTGTAGCTTCTCACCAGGTTCGTTTAAACTTGAGATGGACCTGAGTGACCTTTCAACTTGTGGGATGTGAGGTAATACTTAGGAGAGAAGAATTTGGACACTTTGGTCACACTCAACCAATTGTATTTACACCTGTGGTCTGAGAAATTATGTCAAAATGTCATGATGTCATTATAGTCGTGATGTTGCTCCAGGGCTCAGCGGTGTCCTGTCTATCTTGAATATTTTTTTGTTTCTGAGGTTGTGAAAACTGCAGTGCCCATTATAAAATCATGCAAATCTTTATTTAAAAAATAAACCTTTTGTTTTTGTAAATGTATTATATCAGCGTCCTGCTCCATACTAAAAGACCGTAGTGTACCAGGTTTTCCTGTGGCATAGTTTCTGTATTCCATCCTTGTTTTTGTGTTATTTTTAATAGTTGTTGCATCATTGGTGAAGTAGAAAATTAAGTCCGATTTTAGGCTAGGTGGAGCCCTGTTAGCTGACATTCACCCCGATTCTACCACAGTGGTTTTATTAGAAATACTGAGCATGCTGTATTCATTTTACAGCTCAAGGCCTCTACTGAGACAGAGACCACTTGTGTGTGTTCATGTAAGTGTATGCTGAGGGAAAAATCTGACAGGATTTGCATGATGTTTGCAAAGCTAAAGCTTCGAGTGAAGTCAGTCCCC